GCAGACAGACGAAATAAATGTCAGTCAAGAAAAGGCCTGTTTCTCATCCCCCTCCCCCACCACTGTTGTACATTTTGTACTGTAGACATGGGTATTCGGGGTGCATTTGTTTTTAGAGAACATGTACCCCTCTGCTCAGCAGCACTTGAGGAAGCAGGGGGACCCAGGAGTCTGAGACCTGCTCATTCCTCTCTCATCTGAGGGGCGAGAGCAGTGAGGCAGGGAGGGCAGGAGCTCCCGTGTGGAGAGCTGAGCAGCCAGGGGAGGCCGAGCGGGAGGGAGGCGGGGCCCCGATCTGTGGTAGTCCCGCTGAACTCCCAGGCCTGGGAAAAGTGGGCACAGGGCCCTGGTCTGCCCCGCCCCCCGCAGAGCGGAGCTGAGGACCTGACACCGGCCGGCCGCATCCCCACAGCCTTGGAACTTCCTCCCTCCCGTGTTTGTCTTGGCTCAGAGCTGCTTGGGGCTGTGGGAAGCAGACTCCATCAAGGCAAAGCTGGAAGAATCGGGACATGGAGTCGCAGAGGAGGGGGACGAAAGGGGCCTCGGAGGGGGATGCAGCAGTAGTCGTATCGCGGGTTGATGGCAGACAGCGATGAGAACCCGGGACTCCTGACTCCTGGCACACGGTGCCCAACCCAAGCACCACGGAGCTTCCCAAGTGGGTGGGGGGCTGACATGGGGCTGAAATCCACCAAGCACCTTGATACCCACCTTGCCAGGAAGGCTTCTGGGGACTGGAGGTGTCCAGAATTGTGCTGAACCAGGAGGCATGTCTCCAGCACTCGCTCCCTAACACATGGATCTATCTGTTCGGACGCCTCACTCCAGCTTCAGCCACAGGCCCCACCAGCAGCCCTGCTGGCTCAAGCAGGCTTCTGCAGGAGGCCCTGGGGCCCACGGCCCTGGGCCATGCCCCACCACGGCCAACCCCAGGATTCTCAGATCTCAATTCAGTGCTGCCTCCCCCGGGGCTCAGCGTGGACCCTCCCGTGTCCTGCTCTGCACAGATGCTGGCGGGTCACGTGTCCCACAGCTGAAGGCCTCCCCCGTCCGTCCACCTCCACCATCTGCTGAGGCCCCATAATTATTCCAAGGCCTGGTGCCGTCTCACTCCGAGGGGAGAGTTCACACAGCCCTGTAATGTAACCCAGGCCCGCGGCTGCTCTGGCAGGGGGTCCCCAGCTGGGTAATGAGTAGCCAACTTTATTGAATTCCCTGGCTTGGGTCTGACCAATCACTGCCCTTAGCCGAGGCAGCCCAGGCCTTCTGAGAGCCCATCTGGGCACCCTCACGAAGGACTTCTCCCCAGAACCTCAGTCCCTGCTTCTTAAACCCTTCCTCCTCCCCGAATACGTTTAAATGACAGGGTTGGGGCAAGGAGACTCCCAGGGCCTCTCCCACCCATTTAGGAGAAAGCGTGGCCACCTCGGGTTTGGGGCCCCCCGCAGGGTGGACTGGAACAGGCTGCCCCACGCAGAAGCGAGGCCTGCAGCTCCCACCCCCGCCCCGTCTCCTAAACCTGCTGACTCCTCCCTCTCACCTCTCCTTTCCGGAGGCCTGGGCCCCAAGGAGGCAGGGCCTTGGCTGTGTGCTGTGGGCCAGGCCTTTCCAAGAAGTGCAGGAAACCACCCTCTCTGCTCTGTCTTCTGGACCCCTCCTAGAGCCAAGCCCCCCCAGGTCACGGCCTCGAAACAGGAGCCCGGGCCTCGCTCCCTCCTTGTGCTGACAGCGTGTGTAAGAGCCCAGACGGCATGTGTCCTGCGTCACGCTCTCGCATGCCGGCTCTGTGGCCAAGACCACGCCTTCTCTGTGAACAAGGACTGCATCTATCTCTGTGTACCCAGAGCTCAGCACATAGTTTGTGCTTTCAAAAACACCAAGTAGGAAAAGGGGGAGGAGATGCTTCCAGAGGTGAGAGGTTTGGACCGTGTACCAGTGACATGACACGTGAGATGCGGGCATGGCGTCTCCGCGGGTCCCTTGGCGTCCCCACCCTGTGTGTGGCTGAGGTCTCCGGAGCAGAGGGGCCTGGACAGTTTGGGGAATGGTGCCAGCTTCATCGTCCTGTCGAGGCCCTAGTGGCTCAGGTGTTGTTAGATTAAGAGTGAACCTAAGGTCAAAGGTCACCCAGAGTTCACTGTCCAGGGTGACTTCCTGCCTGCTGCACCTGGACTGGGCCTTGAAACCACCCTGGAGGGTGTGAAGGGTCTGTGGTCCCTCCGCTTCTCCACAGTGGTGTGGGCTGGAGGCTCTTCTGAGATGAGGTCGGAGCCCAGCCCTCTTTCTGGCTGAGCTGTGCCCGATGTCCTTGAGGAGGATGAAAAGCAGGGACACCCCCAAGGTCAGGCCCACCCAGCCCAGGCTCCACTCCCCCGAGACCAGCTGGTGGATGGTGAGAGTGGGCACCTGGGCCCCAGAGGGTTGGTGAGGGTGGGGTCCGCACCGCCCACCAGAGAACAGTTTGAGGGAGACAGAATCAGATGGAGCCCAGTCCAGGGGACTGTGGGAGGGAGGGGCCCAGGAGGAGGAGACTTCAAAGCGCCTCCAGAACAGCTTATAAACAGGCAGGGCTGGCAGGGGGCCAGCGGGGGCCTTTCTGGAGGGGCTGGAAGCTTGCTCGGGCTGTGGAAAGAGCCCAGAACGGGGGTCTGCGAGAGGAGGCCGCCAGCCCGGAGGTCCCGGCAGGCCCAGCTAACCTCTCTGTGACTCTGTTTCTTCTGGTACACCGGAGCTCACAGCAACTGCTCCTGGGCTCCCCCCACCCCGGGGCTGGCGCGAGGGTCAGTGGTGATGACGTTGACGAAAACGCTGTGTGGGCTCCAAGCCCTGATCAGATGTTATTTATTATTCTGAGCTGTGTTTTGGTGGGAGGCTTGGAAGGGCTGAGAGGGAGAGCTGCGGAGTTCTGGGGCTCCCTCTGCCCCACTGCTGTTTCGAGAGTCCTCAAAGCAGAATGGCCAGGAGTGGTGCTCTGGGAACAGGCGGCCGTGGCCCTCGACCTGGCTGAGTGGGGCGAGGGCTCCTCCGTCATCCTGGAGCAGCGGGCCAGGGGGACCGCTGGCCCTGCTCTGCTGCCTGCCCCCTCCCTCCCACCTCTGCTCTGCGTCCCTCCTCCTTCCCCCCACTCCTCCCCACCAAGCTCTCAAGGGACTCCCCAGAAATCAGCCTCTTCTCCCCAGAGACTCGTCCCGATGGAATGGGGCTTCGACCATTTTCCCAAGTCCTGCTTGGACACGTGTCGCCGTCCATTTCCCTTTGTGATGTCAAAGAGGCTGCACAAAGCGCGTCCACCCGGCGTGTGCGGAGGGCCCCCTCAGGGCAGCTGGAACGTGGGTTTATGAAATTACAGGGGATTCAAAGCAGCCGGCGCCGCCCGCTGTCTGGCTTCCTCACTGGGACCGGCCTCAGAGGGCAGTGCGTTCCAGTAATTGAGAGGATTAGGGCCTGACACCTTTCATTAGCTCTTCGACGTCAGCAGGAAAGACAGATCTCGCAGAGCACCCACGCAAGGGGAAGGAGTTGGCTCGGGTGTGGAGAAAGCAGCATACCACCCGGGGGAAGGAAAAGGGTCTGCAGGGCAGGAAGAAGCGTCCTGCCGCCTTTTCATCGCCGAACTGGACCAACGGCAGCCCCGCCGGGGACAGCGGCCTGGAGCAGTGCACGGGCCGGGCTCAGGACTCGGCTTCCCCGACTGTGAGACGAGCGCGCTGCTGGGGGCCTTCCGGGTCCCCTGGCTCTGGCCTGTGCTGTGCCCACCCCAGCCCCCATCCTGAGACACAGCAGCTCAGATACTGCTCTCCAAATCCTTTCCAGTTTGACGTTGAAAACGTGCCTCTCTCTTCTGGGGATCTGCCTCCACATCCCTCATCCCCCGGGGATCAAGTGACCCAGTCAAGAACACTCAGCCTGTCCCCTTTACGGTGGCACTTTAGATCCAAGCTGTTTCCTGCCAAGCAGGGGAAACGCCGCCTCCACCCCCAGCAGCTTCTGGCTCGTCTCCCAGCCCCCTCCACAGATGCAGCCCCTGGAGCTTCTCAAACGGCTCCTCCGGCCTGTAAGAAGCAGAGTTGGGGGGGTGCCTTGACAGCAGTTCTGACCATGGGGGGCGAGAGGTGTGGTTTCCAGAGGTCCCTCCCCGCCCCCCACCCCAAGCCCGCAAGCTGGGGTCCCCATTTCCCATATTCATGGTGGAGGCACTCAGCTGTGCAACCCCGGTGAGCTGTTTAGCTTCTCTGTGCGTCCTTTCCTCAACTTGAAAATGAAGAGACAGCGTGTCGTGAGGACTGAGTGAGAGGCCACGTGCGGAGAGCCCAGTGAATGCTAGCAGTTAGTGCTGCTGTCACTGACTCCTGTGGGTGACCTTGGGCAAGTCCCTCGCTCTCTCCAGCCCCCAGCCTTCTCCCTTGTCAAGGGGGAAACGGGAAAACTGGAAAGTGCCTGGTGCCCCCAAGGAGCTCACTGAATGCAGCCATCGAGCTGCAGCCCCGGCAGCTCGGCTGCCCAGCGCCCTCCCGAGACACGCGTAGGGTTTCTTGGAGCCACGAGCGTGTCCGTGGAGGAGCGAGGAATGTGATCCGTCCCGGCAGCCGGGGAGCCGGAGCGTATCTGGTATGTGCGTCTGGAATGATTTGGGGGAAATGCACCGAAGTTGGAACTTGAGACACGAGCTGCCCGGGACCGAGGGATAGGGAGCTGACGGTGCGCACCACCCCCCTCACCGAGGGACCCGGTGCTGGGGTGGGAGTCGGCTTACACCTCACGGCCGGCTGCTGCTCAGGCCCGCCCTGCCATGGCCGTGAACTTGTTGTTTTTCCACGTCATTTGCTCTCTAATGCACTATCGGGCCTGGCGATGCTAACCCTGCGGCAGCAGGTCCCTCCTCGTAACAAGCGAGTGTGTGTTCTTCAGAGGTGGCCGAGGGGAGGAGGGGGCCGGCGGGGGAGGTTGGGGAAAGGGAAACAAACCGCTGCCTTACAGTGAGCCTGCGTGTCCCGGAGCCAGCTCCCCCAAAGCACATGCCATTTCTGGCCCTTGAAGGGGTTAAAGGCCTCCTGGAGTCAAAAACAAGCAGGTGTCCCACCGTGCCAGATACGCCGCCTAAACTGCTTCCAGCTTTTTTTTTTTTTTCCCCTTCTGCAACAAGTCTGTGATCGGCCACGGGACAGAGGAGCCAGCAGCCTGCCTGTGACAGGCACCAGGTTAGCTCGCTCCCACTCGGGTGGTGCCCAGGGTACAAATCCAGGCCGGGCCCCTGCTGGGGCTCCTCTCCCCGCACACTCAGGAGAGGGGATCTCCTTGCAAAACCGTTCTTTTCTCTGAAGCCGCACAGCCCAGCGGGCTCCGCTGACTCGGTGGAGGCGGCCGCGGCCCTACCAGCAGCAAGGAGGCCCGCCGGCGGGGCGGTGAGGGCAGGTGTCCGCACCCCCGGAGGAGGAGGAGGCCCTCGTGGGCCCCAGCCCCTGGCAGCGCTGCAGGGGAGATCTCTGGCCGCTGCAGACCGCACCATGGGGGCCCGGGGATGCCACCCGTTCCGGTCCCGTTGGGGGCAGGTGGCAGTGCTGCTGCTGCTTCTGCTCAAGGTGCCCCCGAGAGGCCTGGCACTGCCACCCGTCCGCTACTCCCACGCTGGCATCTGCCCCAACGACATGAACCCCAACCTCTGGGTGGATGCCCAGAGCACCTGCAAGCGGGAGTGTGAGACGGACCAGGTGAGTGGGGAGCTAGAAGCCGGAGACGGACCGCACGAGGGTGTGAGCGAGGGAGAGTGGGATCCGTGGGGTGGGCACAGAGCGCAGGACCGTGAAGTCCCTCAGGCCCCAGGCCACACGGAGGTAAACAGGGTGTCATGTCTGTCTAACGCTGAGGCCCAGAAGAGGAGATGGGGGGTTCAGGTTCATCAGGGATGGAGAAGCCCTGCATGCCCGGTCTCCTGTGCGCTTCGGGTTGCCCTGGGCCAGCCCGCGGACAGGTGAGAGGAGGCCTTCAGGGCGGTGCAGGGAGCAGCTCGAGGCCCCACAGCCAGGGCCGGGCTAGGAACCCACACCGGGCTGGCAACAAAGCTGTGGCTGCCGCCAGCCTCCAGGCCACCCCCCAAGGCGTTCGGGCCCCGACACTGGGAGCAGGCCAGGCTGACTCGAGGGTGGACAGGAATGGCTCCGCGTGGGCTCTGCGGTGTCCCTGGCAGGGGAGCAGACGGGGTTTCGACCTGCCAGAGTTCTCCGTGCCCCTTCCACGCTCATCAGAACAGCAAACGGGGCGGGCCGGCCCCGTGGTGATTCTCTCCTCCAGCTCCTGGGTCCAGGGGCCATTCCTGCCACTTTCTCCAGCAGTCCAGAGCCTGCCTGGGCAGAGGCACTTCCTGCCAGCCTGGACAGCTCCTGGGGCTCCGAGCCGGGCATCACGGGGGAACCAGAGAGACCCTGGTGCTCCCTCTGCCGAACTCACGGAACCTGCAGGAGAGCATGGGGTCCCCCTGGAGAGAGTGGCCTCTGCCTCCCAGTGCCCGGGGGCAGTCCTCAGGCTGCCAGGGAGCAGTGATGGGCGGGGGTGGGGGGGGGGAGGTGCACAGGACGATAAGGAGTGGGGAGGGATGGCAGAGCGTCCCCATCTCTCTCGCTGAGGCTGCGCAGTCAGTCGACTTCATTTGCTCATTTGCGGGGAAGCCTGTTTCACCTGACGGGTCAGGTGGGGCCTGGGGGCCGAGAGTGAGACACCAGCCGAGCCTGTGAGCCTTGGGAGGAGGACACCTGTGTGGGGCCGGAGACTCAGACAGCCTGTGGGCACGTTCTGGGCCCTCACGGAAAACTGTTCTAAGGATCCCCTTGAGGGTTTCTAGTGCCCAAAATGCCCTCCCGATGGTCCCCGAAGACCCAGACAACCCAGACTGTCACGGGCCTCTGAGTCCTGAGAGCTTCCAGGGCCAGAGTCTCCTAGGGTCTGCATGGCCGTCTGGCAGGGGAGCAGGCTCTCCCGTCTGCTCCCCGGTCCCCTGCTGCACTCAGTCCCTCACCCCGGCTTTCTCCCTCAGACCCCAGCTCTGGGATCTGCCCACCCCTGTGCAAAGCCTCCCCTGGGGAGGCCTACAAGCCGATGCCAAGCGAGGGCTGCAAAACAAAGTCCCCATTCTGAGCCGAGAGCGGAAAACAGTAAACAAGTCGGGAGGGCCGGCTCCTCAGGGCGGGGTGGGGGCTCTCTCCCCCTCTCAGCTGATGTGGAATGTCAGGGGCTGAAAGGAACGTGGGGCCTGCAAGAGGCCAGCCCTAGTGGGGAGCAACGTGCAGAGCCCCCACCAGGGGGATTAGGAGCGGTGCCCGCCAGCCCAGTGGGCGCGGGGGTTGTCATAGAGAACACCACGTGAAGGCCCTGTTTGTGTCGGCCCCAAGCACGCTGCTCATTTCGAGGAATTAAACTAATGCCTGACGTGGCTCGCGGGAGAATCTGAGGGAATTAGAGCCTTGTAAGTCCTCCGACGGCCTTGCTGAACCTTTGCCACCCCAGGGGATTTTTCCCTTGTTGATTTCCCTGGGAAATGCCACCCCCCCCCCGCCCCCCGGAACTGGGCGCCAGGATCTGGCGCAGCCCCGGGTGTCGGGCCTGGCGCCCTGGGCCTGTCGCACCTGCCCTTCCTCTCAGCCTTGACCGGGTGTGGGCCCTCACGGGAGCGGCTGCTTCCAAAGTATCCGGGGACAACCTCAAACGTCTGTCCCCGCAGTGCCCCACTTTTCCTTCTCAGCATTTGCTGCGGCCTCTTCAGTTCAGCCAGGGCATCCTCACCCCGACGGGGAAAACACAAAAAAGCATTGGTTCCTACATGGACCTCATCTCTGGGCACTACGTGACCTGTGTGACGTAGAAGAAAAAACCCTCCTTTTAGACTTCCATCCACCTGGAGCTCGTAGCCCTTTGCGACCACATCCCAGCCCCGGGCACCTGGCGTCAGCTCTCCGAGGCTCTGCATTCTCAGTTGTAATATTGTAGCAAGAACAGTCCCCCTCTGGGAGGGATGTGGCCGGCCTCTTCCCACACCGCCAGCTGTGTGACCCTGGGCAAGTTACCTAACCTCTCTGTGCCTCAGTTACCACCATCCGGGAAGTGAGGATGATGGTGGATCCACCTCAGAGGCTTGTGATGAGCATTAAATAAGTTGACCAATGTAAACGTTCTTAGGAGAGGGCCTGGCAAATAAATCGTAGGTGCTCTGTACAGGTTAGCTGTTATTATCGAAACATTTTGCTCATGATAGATGAGCATGTATCAGTTCCCTTCCACACACACTATGCAGTAGGGCGGGGGAAGCTGGCGTCCTCTTCCTTCCCTTTGCTCAGGCCTCTCGATTTGGCTCTCTGCAGGAGTGTGAGACCTACGAGAAGTGCTGCCCCAACGTGTGTGGGACCAGGAGCTGTGTGGCAGCCCGCTACATGGACGTGAAAGGAAAGAAGGGCCCGGTGGGCATGCCCAAGGAGGCCACGTGCGACCACTTCATGTGCCTGCAGCAGGGCTCCGAGTGTGACATCTGGGACGGCCAGCCCGTGTGTAAGTGCAAGGATCGCTGTGAGAAGGAGCCCAGCTTCACCTGCGCCTCCGACGGCCTCACCTACTACAACCGCTGCTACATGGATGCCGAGGCCTGCTCCAAGGGCATCACCCTGGTCGTGGTCACCTGCCGCTACCACTTCACCTGGCCCAACACCAGCCCCTCGCCGCCGGAGACCACCGTGCATCCCACCACGGCTTCCCCGGAGACCCCCGGGCTGGACATGGCGGCCCCGGCTCTGCTCACCCACCCTGTGCACCAGTCGGTTAGGGTGGGGGAGACAGTGAGTTTCCTCTGTGAGGTGGTGGGCCGGCCCCGGCCCGACATCACTTGGGAGAAGCAGCTGGAGGACCGAGAGAACGTGGTCATGAAACCCAACCACGTGCGCGGCAACGTGGTGGTCACCAACATCGCCCAGCTGGTCATTTACAACGCCCAGCTCCAGGACGCTGGCATCTACACCTGCACGGCCCGGAATGCTGCCGGCGTCCTGCGCGCCGACTTCCCGCTGTCGGTGGTCAGGGGCGGGCTGGCTGCGGCCACCGTGGACAGCAGCCCCAACAGCACGGCTTTCCCTGCTGCCGAGTGCCTGAAGCCCCCCGACAGTGAGGACTGCGGCGAGGAGCAGACCCGCTGGCACTTTGATGCCCAAGCCAACAACTGCCTCACCTTCACCTTTGGCCATTGCCACCGCAACCGCAACCACTTCGAGACTTATGAGGCCTGCATGCTGGCCTGCATGAGCGGGCCGCTGGCCGTGTGCAGCCTGCCCGCCCTGCAGGGGCCCTGCAAGGCCTACGCGCCGCGCTGGGCCTACAACATCCAGGCGGGCCAGTGCCAGTCCTTCGTCTACGGCGGCTGCGAGGGCAACGGGAACAACTTTGAGAGCCGAGAGGCCTGCGAGGAGTCCTGCCCCTTTCCCTGGGGCAGCCAGCGCTGCCAGGCCTGCAAGCCGAGGCAGAAGCTCGTGACCAGCTTCTGTCGCAGCGACTTTGTCATCTTGGGCAGAGTCTCGGAGCTGACGGAGGAGCCCGACTCGGGCCGTGCCCTGGTGACCGTGGACGAGGTCCTGAAGGATGAGAAGATGGGCCTCAAGTTCCTGGGCCGGGAGCCGCTGGAGGTCACTCTGCTCCACGTGGACTGGACCTGCCCCTGCCCCAACGTGACGGTGGGCGAGACGCCGCTCATCATCATGGGGGAGGTCGACGGCGGCATGGCCATGCTGCGGCCTGAGAGCTTCGTGGGGGCGTCCAGCACCAGGCGAGTCAGGAAGCTGCGTGAGGTCATGCACAAGAAGACCTGCGAGGTCCTCAAGGAGTTCCTGGGCTCACACTGAAGCCCCCCCTCCCCTGGCCCCTCCCTGGCCCTCTCCCACCTACCCACCCACCCTGACGCCTCTCCGAGAACTGGGCTAGGTCACATTCGACAGTCTTGGGCCAGCAGAGGAATATCCATCAGAGGGTCTTAGATCAACGTCTCTTCTTTGGGCTCAGTAAGGGGTTCATCTCTTCTTTAGCTGAGGGAGACAAAAGAGGTCAGTAAACACTTGTCAATTATCCCTGACGACCAAGCCGCTTGGGCGCTGTTATCCTCTCCTTGCCAGCCACCCCTGCCCCCGGCTCTCCCAGCCACCCTACCGCCAGCCAGCCTCCCACCAGGGATCTAGAGAGGAGGCTCATGGTGGTCACGGGAGCCATGGAATGAACTGGTTTGCAAAAGGCGTGGTGGGCAGAGAAAGGAGGGCCCAGGGACTCAGGGGGCGAATTCCCCACAGCCCCCTAGACAGCCCTGAGCAGGGACCACTTCCTGTAGGGAGTCATGGGAAGGGGGAAGCAGGGGGCGTGGTCTGCCCAGCACCCAAGTGGCGCTGAGTGGGGGTGTCTGGGCAGGTGCCCTTGGGTGGTGGGTGGTCAGGCTGTGCTTCGATCGAGTTGCCCTGCGGTATCTGAGGCCACCAGCAAGATACAGGTGTCTCGTGTCTCCTTGGCTTTATGGATCGGCTTGTTGCTTGTGGATTTGTTAATTCAGTTCTGTTCGGTCCAACTCAACATACATGTTCTGGCCATTTACCGGGAACCAGGTGCGGGGCCCACAGGGCGCTGTCAGCCACTGCCCAGCTCCCAGTCCAGACCAGGGGCCCCCGGCGGCAGACCCCGGGTGTCCCTCCCCTCCATCACATGGTCCCATTCAACAGTCCGTATGCTCCCATCTGTCACTGGCTTCCTCGGACACGAAGCGGATAGAAGCCCCAGGATCTGTTTTGGTAGGAAGAGAATGAAAGGAAGAGGACAAGCAGGCCGGGAGGGGGCTGGGGATGGAATGAGAAGGGAGGGAGGAGGGGAGGCAGGCCGGGGAAGGGAAGGGAAGGGAAGGGAAGGGAAGGGAAGCTGCTCGATGCTCCCATCTGGTGGCGGCCTCGGGCCTGGGATGGCAGGTTTGGGGATGTGGCAGCCAGTGGCTGATTTTTTCTTCTTGGACTTCCGGTGCAGCTCCAGCCACCCACCACTAGACAGAGGATTCAGGAAAACCCACTGTCGGCTCTGCCGCTGCCCTCTAGTCCCTCCTCAGCCCTTCATTCTGCCTGTGCCCCTCCCAAACTGAAGGTCATTGTGGGGCGTCCTTGTTTCTTCCTCAGACGTAGGGAGGAAGATACCAATTAAAAGCTAATAGTATCAACAGGCCTTCTTGTGTGATTCATTTGAGCTAATGTGTATGTGTGTGTGCGGGGGTGGGGGGGAGTGGGTGGTGTCGTAGGCTTTGGTGACGGTGCAGGAGGGAAGTCTGGCTGACAGGACCACATCTGGGTCATGGAGGGACACTGCTCCTGCTCAGCCCGCTGTGCAGCTCCGGGGCTCCTTCGCCGCGGGGCTCTGTGACTTAGGCACTGGGGCCAGGTGACGTTCTGAAGATCACAGAGGCAGGGAGGTGTGGGCCTCAGGCCTTGTACCGCAGTCCTTCGCCCCATCGTGACGGCCTGGTAGACGGGAGGCAGGTGGAGCGAACAGACGTGGGGCAGACTACCCAGCTGTGACTCCCCAGGGGACCTCTGGGGGAAGCCTGGTCCCAAAGCCCTGATGTGGCTCGGTTTCTAGGATGGGGGATAGCAGCACCTTCGGTCTCGGCTGCTTGTGGCTACTCCCTCGCCCTGGAGGTGTGTTCAGGAGCCCGCACAGCCACGGCCCGCCACACAGCTTGCCTGTCCCTGAGGCTGAGAACCAGCTAGGCATAGGAGACTCCTGTCCCCCGTCCACATCCCTGGGTCTCCCAGGCCACAGCCGTGAAGAGGACTCCAGCCCTAGTCCAGCCCAGCCCAACCCTCGTTAGAATAATTCCCTGCAATGAGGAGGGGCCATGGGAGAGAAGGTAAGCTTCTTCCTGAGAGAGCAGGGAGCCCAGAGGAACGGGAACTTATCATTGCCTTTGGGAAAATGCTGAGCATAAAGCTTAGGTACTGAGGACAAGGGAGGGGGGGACTCAAGTCCTCGCTTACCCTCAGAGGCTTGGAGACGTTCTGTTGTACATGCTTCTAGGCCGAGGTGCCCCGATAAGTAGCACATCGTTTAGAGCCTGAGATGGTAAATGTCATCATGCCAGCACCTGTCACCTCCACTCTTCTCCACACTTGCACAGCTGTGGGGTCTGAGCCTGTGGCTCCCCGGGGCAGAAGTGGGGTTCAGGGGAGTCTGATCTCAGGGCTCCCTGTCACCAGTTCACTGTCCACCAATGGCCCCACACCTGGGGTCCCCGCCACACTCCAACCTCAGCCGGGCAGAGTGAGAAAGCCCAACCTGTGGAGTCAGGCCCCCCTGGTCTGAATCTGTGCTCCAATACTTATTCTCTGCCTCCCTGAGCCTCAGTTTCCTCGTCCACAAAAGAGAGGGTAGTAAGAGCTCTTTATAGAGACTTGCAGAGCTCGACCGACCCCTTCAACCTTGTCCACTGGGAAAGCCTAGGAAACAGAGCCTGCCCAGATGGCTGCCCCTGGGCCCTCTACAGCTCCTGGCCAAGAGCAGACCCCCAGGATCTAAAGCATCCCCTCCTTGTCCTTCTGGGCCTCAGGTTCCTCCGGTTCAGTGACCACACAGCTTCAGCTGTCTTACTCGGTTGCTCACAGAGCACACCCAGACTGATCACCCCACACAGGCTGATTTGGGGTTCAGAAAATATGGGCTTTTAGGGAATGAGTGCTTTAGACTCTATTACTATTTTGGACCCACTACATGGCACTGATTTTTCTGTTCCTGACACTAAGCCTGGGTCTCTGTCCTCTGCTGGCGAGGCCTGACATGATGACTGGCATCTAGCAGGTGCTGGGTAAAACAGAGCTTTGGGGGGGCTCTGCCTGCAGCCCCCCCCCACCCGGCTGCCACAGATGAGAATAAGTCTACCAAGACATGATCTGCTTGGGGAGGAAAGGTGGCCGATCTCTCACAGGAAAAGGCCAAGAGCCTTTTTCTCAATGGGCTTTTATTGGGTTCATTTGCAGAGGAACACAGGTAAAGTTCATCAGTCATTGTCAGGCAGGAAGGATCAAACAATAGATTACATACAAAGAACTCTGAGGGTCTATTCTGAGTCAGGGTCTGTTAGTTAAAAAGTTACAAAAATTTGAGGAACAAACTCACTTCTTGCTTGGACCCTTATCATTTAATTGAGAGCATTCTAAACAAAGCAGGTTTCACAGGATTTTATGTATTCTTTCTTAGGCCTGATCACTCAGGGGAACCCGCCCTTTCCAACACAGGGCTGCACCCACTACTGGCATTGTTTCAGGCTTTAAATCAGGCAGGATAAGTAAGGCAGCCAAGAGATTAGGAAACTTCTTGAAGACAGAATGAGGACTTGGGCTATGTCAAAGCCGGAAGGTGAGGGTCCATCACCCTCTTTTGCTATAGCCCCCCAAGTTCTTCCCTGAGACCTCCCATGTGATTGTGCCTGTCTTAGGTTGTTTCCCCCTTTGGGAATCTTACCCATCATTGGCTAACTGATCAAGCATTGGGGGCTAGGCAGGGTGAAGTAAAGGGAGCAGAAGCAGCACCCCTGCTAGGAAGATAAGCTTTGTCTCCTTAGTGGCTTATGGTCCAAGGTTACTCACTCAGCCTTAGCCATGGGGGGATTACAGCTTCTGAATCCAGGCAGAGCAGTTCCCAACACTGAGCTGGATTCCCAGGGCCTGGTTGTCAGGCACCCTGGGGAGCCCCTCCCACCAGTCTGGGAGATTTGCCCCAGCCTGGACCCCAGGACCTGTGGGGACTGAGCCCTCCTTCAGGTCCAAGGCCAGACTCACCTGTTTTCTTTCCTGTCTACACTGGACACCTATTTCTCCCTTCCTTGCATCTGATGTCCTCCCACCTGCACCCCGCCACCGCCCAGCCCAGGCCCTCTCTGTTTGCCTCTTCAGCGGCCTGGTCTGGCACCGCTGTCTCCAGACCAGCCCCAAAGCCCCTGGGCAGGATGGCTTGGCTTTTTCCACCCTCTGCCTCTCCAGCCTCCTAGGACACTTTGCTCCATTGTCTGGCCAGCTGCTCCATAGTCTGATGTCACCCCCTGGACAGTGGGGCCAGAGAGCAGGGACCAGGGGCGGAAACTATGAGGGAAGGGACAGAATAAATACAGAGCCACATGGTGATTTCCCTGGGCTGGGAGAACACCGTGTCCAACTGTCCCGTTACAGCATCAACACTGAGGGGCACTGACTATGTGATGGGCACTGGACATCGTGTCTCGTCATCGGCAGCATGAGTGGATGAGACAGGATGCTATTTTGTAGGTGGGGAAACTGAGGCCAGGGGATAAGACACTTGCCCAAGATCACCCAGCTGCTGAATGGCAGAGCCGAGATTTGAACCTCGGGAGTCTGACTTCAGACTTCTTAATGCTCCTGTTACACTCTTCTCCCAGCGTCTCTCTCTCTCTCTCTCTCACACACACACACACACACATACACACACACACACTGGGCTGGGCAGCACGGAATCCCATTGGGACCCCAAAGTCCTCCAACGTGCCTGCCTCCTACTAGCCACACACACAGTGCCTCGGGGCTATCTGACGACCTTGCCATGTGACCTGGTGTTTCTATCGCACACATACGCAGTCATGGCCTAGATTCCTGGGCGAGACATCAGCCTTATGCTTACTCATCCTTCAAGACTCAGCTCCTCGGGGAAGCTGCCCCTGTTGCTGAGGCTCTACAGATACTCTTCTACAAGTCCTGGCCTCCCTCTGCGTCTGCGCGGACCTCCAGCCAGCACCGCTGCTTAGGGACTCCAGGAGGTGCGTGGGCCCTGAGGCTCACAGAACTCCTGGCGGCCTCACTGAAGGGTCCTGGGCCACGGGCCCGCTGCCCGGCCACAAGGCTGGGCAGGGGCTTCTCTGGGGTCTTCCCTGCTGTTCCCCAGCTCCATTTCCTGGTTGCAGCTCCTCCTTCTCCTCCCACCTCCCCAAGGAGTCTGAAGCCTTCCTCCTGCTTGAGGAATGTGTGATTAATATAGGCAGGATAGGTGACAGGGCTCCTGGGCCCTATTTTTGGCGGTGGCCTCATTCTGGAATGTGCCCTGAGGTCAAGTGACACTCCTGTCAGGCTGTGTCAGGAGGGAGAAAGAGTAACTCTCCAGCCAGCCGTCCCCTGTGGGAGCGGGTCGGGTGGACAGGTAGACAGGCCGACCAGCCCTCTCCTTCCTGCCTCTTTGGTTCCTGAGCCCCACAGCACTTCAATGTCAGGGTCAGGCTGGAGTCTCCGTGTCCCCATCCCAAATCACCGCGGGGCACAACACTGTGCGTCGGGTCGCCAGCCGCTCCCTGACCTCCCTCCACCTGCTCAGCTGAGGACAGAACAAGACCCAGCCCTGACGGACCTGCCCGGAGCATGTCTGTTGGGGTGAGGTGGGGTGCTTGGGTGCTTTTTGCCCTTTTCAAGTCTTGAGGATTCTGCCAGAGGCCTGACAGGGTGACAAGGGGTCCGTCTTGATCACACGTTTTCTGTCTTGGTGTGAGGGACGCATTCAGTTCTGTCAAAGGGTGGTGACTGTTTTGTCTTCTGTGTGCATGGCCAGGAAGCAGAGAGGGGGCCTGGCAAGGACCCTCAGCAGGAGAGAAGCACAGTGTCGGAAGAGCGAGAGTGCCCTGGCTGGTGTGCCTCAGTGGACTGCGTGCTGCTCTGTGAAGCAAAGGGTTGCTGGTTCAATTCCCAGGCAGGGTGCATGCCTGGGTTGCGGGCCAGGTCCCCAGTAGGGGGTGTGCAAGTGGCAACCACATGTTGACGTTTAAGGCCTAAGAATTATTTTATGGTCATTGCTGCCA